ACATTATTCCAAGTCAGTCTAGTACAATAACACTTACATTTAATAACTCAGTTACTCAATCAATAAGACAATATAAAAAAATGGATACTCACCTTTCTCAATTCCCAAAAAAACTGAGTGATGTTCCGTTCACGTAGAAATTTCTGAATTTGTGGATGACGATCTGTCACAATGTAGTCCACAGCCAAGCCATTTGACTCCAGTTTGTCAAGGGAACGTTTTAACCCCTCCTTCTCCATGTGGTAACTACCACCTACCTCGTTGCTCTGTGCATGGGTACACACAATTGAAAATATAAAATTGACAATAATGAAAAGAGTAATTTACAAGAGGCTTAGGCTTATAAATGTATAACCCACCTGAATGAGTTGAAGATCAAGAGCATTAAAGGTGTAGCTTCCATATTTTGCAGAGTGTCCTTGGGCAAGCAAAACCAATAATTTGAGTAACTTTTTAAACTAAACTTTAATCTATGTATTAAAACATAGAGAAGTACAAAACGATAAACTACATTGACCATTAAGGGTGGTTTTGTGTCACACTTGCTTACCTGGTGTGTCAGCTCGCATATCCCCAGCAACTGCTACCTTCCCCACCTGCTGTAGCTGGCGAATTAGATTTTGCTGATCTGTGTTCCATTTGTGTATGATAGTAGGCTCTAAAAAGGTCCTGGCATGTCTCCTAAACGTGTCATACTGGAATATCTCCAGCTGCATGGCCTTGAAAATCTATAAAATCAAAATAATGAGAAATAAATAAATAAATGTACATATACATTTGATAACAATGAAAATAAAAGATACCTTTTGTAGTTGAACAAATGATCCACCGGTAAAATATGTAGCTGCAGACAACTGTAGATTTCCAACAGGGGTACTTCCTATAATGGGTTGTCTCTGCCACTGTCTGTGGTAGTTACATTTTTCGCAGAGTTGAGTGAATGCCACAAAAGTACCCATTCGTCTGCTCTGGACAGAACACTTGCTCTTGCAAAATGGGCAAGTATCAAACACAATGTATTTGGAAACACTGTACTGTCCTTGGGGGCCTAACCTAAAAAAATGAAAGCAAGTCTTGGCAATTGCTTTGCAGAAAATTAGAGCAACTTAAAATTGTAGTATGTTGACAACATGTATTTGTAACTTACGACAAGTCAGATTCCTCTGTTACCAAAGACTCCATGTTATATGTAGAGTCATGGGGTTGTTCAAGTAATTGTGAGTCAGTGTCCTCTTCTTCCAACACCAGACGAGGTCTCTTACGTGGAATGAAGATTGAGCCCTTTACTGGTGTTGAAGACAATGGCACATCAGAAAACATGGGAGTGGTTTCAGTTCCAACATCGTGACCAGAAACACTTGCTGCCTATAAGTGAAAACATAACATTTTTCGTATTTTCTGTCGGATTTCCTTAAAAAATGGTGTCAGGACGTTACTGTATATGATAAATGTACATGCTATAACTCATTGTATTTGTCATACCTCTGCTCCTTACATGCATGTCCTTCAGTGTACCCATAGAAAGTTGTATGCCGACTGATCGCATATTACAAGAGGTTTGTGTGGCCACTGTTACAGTTTCCACAGGGTCTGACTGACATCCAATTTCCAAAAATATTAATTAAGAGGGAATCTCAGATGAACTAGGACCCTGCTGGGATGTACTCTGTGAGAAAGTGAAATACTGAACAATGGCTGTCAAATCACACAATCAAAATATCAAATTAAAAAATATATATTTTTTTGGTGATAAAAATATCTGACGGGAAAGAACGCTTCACACATGGACGTAATATCCGTGTATTACACAAAATATCTTTCAGGGCGGAAGATAAACTTCAAAAAGTTAAAATGAGGACATATGGGTTTTTGCTAAAGAGGGAAACGCGCGCACCCTTGTCATATAACAGGTTTAACAGTACTAATGTTACCCGAGGGTTTGCGAGCGCTTGGAGTAGATCATGAATAGAATTAGGCATCAGCTTTATGCAGGCAATTTGGCGTATCACGCCGCAAGTTTAGAAAACAACACTGTGTGTTACTTCTATTGTCTTTTGTTGCCTGGCATCAAGTCCCATAGCTACAGTAAGTTAAATGCCAGCTAACGTTACATCAATACTGTAATGTTATCAAACTAGCACGCTGGATGGGCCAAGTAACTGCGTTCCAGTTGATTTACATTGCATAAACGGCATACAACTTATACTTTGAAATGTAAATAAATAACACACTGTGAGAAAGTGAAATACTGAACAATGGCTGTCAAATCACACAATCAAAATATCAAATTAAAAAATATATTTTTTTTTGGTGATAAAAATATCTGACAGGGGAAAGAACGCTTCACACATGGACGCAATATCCGTGTATTACACAAAATATCTTTCAGGGTGGAAGATAAACTTCTAAAAGTTAAAATTAGGACATATGGGTTATTGCTAAAGAGGGAAACGCACCCTTGTCATATAACAGGTTTAACGATACTACCTGAGGGTTTGCGAGCGCTTGGAGTAGATCATGAATAGAATTAGGCATCAGCTTTATGCAGGCAATTTGGCGTATCACGCCGCAAGTTTAGAAAACAACACTGTGTGTTACTTCTATTGTCTTTTGTTGCCTGGCATCAAGTCTCATAGCTACAGTAAGTTAAATGCCAGCTACATCAATACTGTAATGTTAGCAAACTAGCACGCTGGATGGGCCAAGTAACTGCGTTCCAGTTGATTTACATTGCATAAACGGCATACAACTTATACTTTGAAATGTAAATAAATAACACACAAAAACAAATAAAGCAGCATACAGGTGCATCTCAATAAATTAGAATGTCGTGGAAAAGTTCATTTATTTCAGTAATTCAACTCAAATTGTAGAAACTCTAAACATCTAGAAACATTTTGTTGGGATAAAGGCTGTGATGCAGATACGGCAGATTGTCCCGACAAAGTGGAAACTGCTCCGTCTTTCATCAAAAGCATTTTGGCGAAACCAGCTCTGAACTCCCTCATGTCGTGGAAGCTGTCCTCAGTAAAATGCGCAGCACACAGTACCAAATTGGGGTTGTAATGCTCAGGAACAGAGTTAAAAATAAATTGCAACCCCAGTTTCCTGACGTCATCCGCTTTAGGAAGGCCAAACAAAGATGTTTGGGCACGGGGGTGAAAAAAACAGCATCTCTTCGACATGGTGAAAACTTGATGCTACAGCAGCACTTCATCGTCGTCTTGTCTGATGCACTCAACCAAGCATTCTAACCACGACCTTGCCCCTCCCCACCCCACAACCATTCAAATTTCCGTAGGTGGATTTATTTTAATGATATTCTAATGGGCCGCTTTGTGATGTCATAAAACCCGGAAAAATAACGCTGTAGTCCAAACGAGCCATTCATTGTAGTTCTTGAAAAGGGATTTTTTAAAAGCTAAATATCTCACTTTGGAGTGGACTTTGAGATTTGTAACTTTGTAGATCATTTTATGCCCAAACATACACACTATACACTGACTAAAATAAAAAAAGTGAAAAAGCATAGTAGGACCCCTTTAAGTTGCTCACTAGTAATTAGTGAGTAGCACATAGCACATTAAAATGTACACTACCGGTCAAAATTAAATTGAATCAAAAACAGCAATATTGTGAAATATTATTACAATTTAAAATAGGCCTAACTTTTCTATGAAATCTGTTTTAAAATGTACTTTATTTCTGTGATGTCAAAGCTGGATTTTCAGGATCATTACTCTAGTCTTCAGTGTTACATGATCATTCAGTTTATGTGCATTTGTAAGGTGAGGAAGTCTTGTAATATCCCTTAATCATTAGAAAACTGCCACAAAGACATGATTCTCATCTTCCTCTGAACCAGATTACAACTAAATGTTAAATTCTCAGCTGACTTTCATATGCATGATCCATGTGCGATCCATGATTCTGAATGATTACCTTATTCACGCTCCATAGTATTTACATAGCATTCCAAATTATTTCAAAGAATACCACGGTTGCACCATGGCACAAGCATGAAGTCATGTCATAGTATACTATAGTAATAGTAATTCTGTAGTACGAGGCTTGGGCAAAGACATACATCAAAATGTATTTTAAACGGATCATATGATGCAATGTAAATTTTTCCTTTCTCTTTGGAGTGCTACAAGCTCTTGGTGCATAAAGAAGATCTGTAATGTTGCAAAGACTAAAGTCTCAAATCCAAAGAGATATTTTTTATAAAAGTTAAGAGTCAACCACGCTTACCTAAAATAGCTCGTTCTAACACGCCCCCACATATCTACGTCATGATGTGGGAAGTTCCCTTTCATGGGAACTTCGAACTGCGTCCTCTAGGGGTCGCTATGGGGAACGCCTCGTCGTGACCCGTGTCTGAAGCATACATTGAAAAAACACCAACTCGTTGGCCGGCGACAGCCATGACGTCACTACCGGTGCGACTATAGTATATTTATGGAGGACTGTTTCCTGATCCTGAGAGAGGAGACTACAATGCCGGTGTCGGTTTTTATAAAGTGGGGCAATTCCAACTTTGCAAAAACAGTCTTGCGCTTCTGACTCACAGCTTGTAAGTACGCTTTCATATTTAAAGGATTTGCCACTGACGATTCAAATGCGAGTTTTTACACCAAATACATAAACTAATGTTCTTTTTAGCAGCATCATATGACCCCTTTAAAATAAAATACCAAATACCTTAATTTTAAGTGTATCAAGATAAACTACAAAATACAGCAGACAGACCAAGTATCAAAATAAACTACTAAAATACTAAAAAATACTTTTACAAGGTAGCATGGAATTTCTTTGCAAACCTTCCATCAATTGGCCTATTTGATCTATCCCTTCACCATTACACTCAGTTGATTAAGTACAATGTTTGACAGCAAATGCTTTTCTTTGCCCGAGTCATGCAATAAATCTGACATTAGCAACCAGTTAACAGATCAAATCTTTTATTTAGTTACTAAAAATAAATGTTTTTGAATGTTTATCAATCAATTAGCATACAATATCCATTATCATAATAATACAAGCAAAAGTCTCCAATGAAATCAAGTCACACTACATGAGTCTTTTAGGGTCAATTTTCTCCAGGTGCACCAGAGGTTTCAGCTGTTCTGCGAAGCTTCTCATGTCCTCAGACATGGTGTCCTGTCCCGCAGGAGCCAGTATGCTCAGCTCAACAAGATACGACAGAGACATCGGCTCTGTGTTCTCCGTGTTTCCTGACGCAAGGACACGTAACAGTTTGCTCACTACCACCTTCATTGCACCCTTCCGGAACACCTGACCCTTGGCCACGAACTCATGGTCCATGCGGAAACCCATCTCATTGAGAAAGTCCGGTAAGCTGTGCGAGGCAGCCACATCCACACAGTTTCGCACCAGGGCATGACGGCTTTTGTCGCCCACCTCAGGCTGACCTAGATAGCGCAGATGCCAAGGGGCAGTGGGGTGAAGAAGCGAGCGGCGCGCACGCAGCATGAACGGGTTGCCCTGCTGACCCTTCAGCAGATACACCAGCTCATGATCAGCAAAGCTCTCAGGCTCCATGTTATCACACAGACCTCTGAGTCGATGTAGGAGGCTCTCCAGAGACTGATCCAGTACACTGCCTGTGCCGAATAAATCAATAACCCAGTAAAGTCAGAAGACATAACTTACTTAAATTTAAAAACCATAACAAATGTGACATTGACACATTTATGGAAGCCTGTTACTGTCATAAATAAAAAATAAAATAGGTAACTGCAATTTATGTTACAACTGTGTTACAATTCCGACTGTTTCATGCAAATCTGAGACAAATGAACTGTGAGATATAAACTCACAATTCTGACTTTTTTTGTCACAATTCCAAGTTTACATCTCACAATTCTGAGTTTATATCTCACAATTGTTTTGTTTTTTTCCTTCGGCAACAGAATAAAAATTAAAAAGGTAATTGCAATTTTTTCCACAATAAATAAATAAAGCCAATTTTGACTTTTCATCTCACAATTCTGACTTTTTTTTCTCAGAATTGAGAGAATTTAATATATTAAATGTATTACAGAAACAAATTTGTGAGAAAAAAGTCAAAATTGGCTTTATTTATTTATTGTGGAAAAAATTGCAATTACCTTTTTAATTTTTATTCTGTTGCTGAAGAAAAAAGTCAGAATGGTGAGATGAAAAGTCAAAATTTTATTTTTATTGATTTATTTCCATGGCGGAAACGGGCTTCCATACATGTTTCTGTTCAAATCAATTCAAAGTATTTATTTTATATAATCCCAATATAAAGAGTTTCAATTAAAGGAGAGTTGTATAAGTTTAATAAGACCAATCACGGTTAAAAAAAGTCTTAATAGGTCCATATAATTACTTTAATGACATTGACATTTCTTCATTTAGCAAACTCTTTAATCCAAAGGATATACAATAGAGAAATACAAAGAGCGATTTATCAAAAGGAAGCAATAACACGAGACATGCAAATTTCCAATATTGTCCAGAACAGTATAATCTAGAAGACGGAGGGATATAATAATAGTAATGAGGTTATATTTATAAACTAATAGAAGTTTACCTTGCAGAAGATACTCCATCATATTTATGGTTCCACCCGTTACGGGCATCACGGTGACCGGCGGAGCCTCCATCACTCTGTAACTCTGAACTCTCTTAGTCTCTTAACACATTTAACAGTCAACTACCAGTGGAAAATGATAGCTGGTTAAACCAGAACTTCAAATGAACCGTAGATCAACATGCACAACAAAAGACCTGCAGAGATAGTAAGATATTAACAACAAAACACCGCCACCCGATATAAAACTCTGAATAATAAATGTAAAATAACATATATTTTACCTGTTATTAGAAAACAAAATCGAAACGGTTTATGTTTTTGCCTAAAACACCATCAGCAATTGATACAACTCATTCGACTGCCTCCATGTAAAACGCGCATGCGCAGTGTCGATTGAAATTACAGCGCATGCGCAACGTTTCTTCCATTCATTTAGCGCCATCTTCCGGATTGAAGGGATCTCTTCACCATACTATTAATGTTTGTAACATTTATGACTCAAATGTATGAAAATGAAAATACTTTTTATTTTAACACTCTTATGTGTTTATTTCTTTATAATAGGCTATTAATACAGTTCTATGTTACGTCCTCCAACATAATGTGGAGTGTTGCACAAACATTAATAGACTGTGTAAATGAAACAATTCTGCTAGCTTCACCTGTTGAAGAAGGGACACGTCAGTATATCAGTTTTACTCAGTTCTGCTCATTAAAAACAAATATTATAATTTAAAAATATCGGATCTTATGCTTTGAGCTGTAGTGAATTAAAAGTTTTTAAAAAATCCTATATGATGGAGTAAAACCACTGATCTATAATAGATAGAACAGAGAATAAAACTCATTTGGCTCTGTCCCCCATTATTGAAATCTAACATTGGAATTTTAGGTTGTTATATCGTTTCATAACTAAACATATTACATTTACATTTACATTTAGTCATTTAGCAGACGCTTTTATCCAAAGCGACTTACAAATGAGGACAATAAAAGCAGTCAAAATCATTTGAATAATATTAAAACAGTTTTAAGTAATTGAAATAAAGCTGAAATAAAATAAAATATAAATATTAGATGAAAAACGTTAACTTAAAAAAGCAGGGTTGAATCTAAACTCTGCAGGGCTGCGGAATGAAACTGTAATTTTATCAAATTTTCTAAATGTGTTTTGTAAAAATGATTGCGTTATATATTTCTGTTATTGTATTATGCCAAAGCCTCATGTGTTTTTGACTACCCTGAGCTACCATTTACTTATCAACCCTTCACATGATGCGATTTTCAATATCCGGATAACATCTGAAGAAAAAAGTAATCTAATAATACAATTATTTAAACAGAACTATATAGCGGAATATTCTTATTGGCCATTTTAATATTAGGTATGCTACATGTCGAGATTTCTCTGCACAGTTAAGCGGGTTTATTATAAATAGCCACTTCTATACACTCACATGACGTTTAGTTAAATAATGTTTTTTTTTTAATAAATTAAAATTATATGTAAAAAAAATAATTCATTAAAAGTCATTAAAATATTCAAGTACATTAACTTCTGTAAGATGTTAGTCCCGTCCAAATCGGCACTGAATCAATCATTCAACAGCGCCATTAAAAATAAATAAATAAAATAATTACTGTATGCAGAACTGTGGAAATGTATGGCAGTATGATGAACGCACTGACTGAGACTTTTATTGTGAAAAACACTGAACGCACTCTGACGTTTATTTTGACAATAAATGAACATGTAGAGACTTTTAATTTGAAGGGCTGTGCCATTTTAGGGATGTATGACATCGCTTGGTGTTGAAGATGAGCTCAACTTCAATGTTTTCTGTCGACATCTAATGAATGTAATTTATTATTCTGTTTTCTGTCTGTTATTAATGTTTGGATGCAGTAGTTTCTGAATTCAAGGCAATTTTGGTATCGTTAATAGCTCCAAAGGTGTCTCACCGTGTGTAATGTTGTTCTGTCGGCGCTAGCTTTATTTACACACATGATCATACTTACAGTCTCAGAAAGGCGAGTAAATATCACTAATGCCTGATTATAGCAGGTCGTTTTACAGTGTATGTCGATTTAAAGCTTATCATGGTTCTTCTGTAAGTCATAAATAGTGTTAAATGCTAACATTAGCCCAATGTTAGCAGAGCTAATATTTTACTTATTAAATCTGATGTTTACATTTAATTTCCTCTATTAATTACAATTTCTGCAGCCATTTAGATTAATAGGTGTTTTCTGTATTCTTTAGAGGACTTGATGAGATCTGAAAAGAGGCCTTTATACGTATTTGTGTTTTTGGCTCGTCCCAGATCATTTTCTGTCTCAGAAAGGTGTTGTTTATTATGTTTCTTTCAACCTGAGAAAATTATCTAGCATATTTAAAAACTTGGGTTGTCAATAGAATAAAATAATTGACTGTGCCATGATTTTCAATCAGTGTTTACAAAACAGAATGGAAAACGAGTAGTATCAAATTCAGTAAAAATGTTAAAACATTTGACTAAATATCTGAAATGAAGAACTCTGACAACCCTAACATTTAATTTAATAAAATTTTTTTTTTTTTTTCTCCTCAAATGTTCCATCAGTAGTAAAAAAAAAAAAAAAAAAAAAGTAGTAAAGTTAGTAAAAATTAAAGTGGTTAATTATCAAGCACACATATTCGTGGCCGTATGAATAATCATTCTCAGATGCTGATTGGGCTTCTTAGGTTACTTCTTAATATATTTCTGTATTATTTTGAAATGTGAATTGTTTACTTACTGAATTGCAAAAAATAATCACTGTTTCACCTATCTGCTATTGATCAGACAAACAAATAGTCCCAGCCCAGACTCATGTCACTAGTTGAGCTAATGTTGCTGTGTCGGGATTCTTAACTACATGTGGCTTACTTTGAGTTGTTTCTGCATGCTAAGACAGATAACAAAGTATTGTATCACGTATAAACACCTGCTGTCAGACCTGTTTGATATCTTGATGTCATGAAATATTGAAGTTCTGTGTTCTAAACAGCTCAGCAACTGAAGTCATTATATGTGTCACCTGGAGAAAGATGATAATGGCAGATGACAAGGATGTGCTCCGAGATGTTTGGTTCGGAAGGATACCGGCCTGTTTCACACTGTCTCCAGAGGAAACCACAGAGAGAGAGGCAGAACCTTACTATGTCAGTTAAGATGACAGACTTTCTTTCTGCTGTAGAATGGTTAGTTTCATCATGTCACCTGACCTGTGCTGTTTTTCTCTGTCAATCTGTCAGCTGCTCCTCCCACGGGTCAGTTACTTGATGCTAGTCACTGATAAAGTCAAGAAACATTTTCTCAGAGTCATGAAGGCAGAAGACGTGGAGGAGATGTGGTTTGAATATGAGGGGACGCCTCTCAAGTGGTATGTCGAGTTGACAATGTGTTGTCAAACCTCTTGTTTAATCTAAACTAACTTTTGCACATGACTTTCATTTTCACATTCATGCATTTTGCAGATGCTTTTATCCAAAGCCACTTACACAGCTACTCAACTAATTGAGGTACAGAAGCAATTAGAGGGGTCATGTGATGCGATTTCTATTTTTCCTTTTCTTTAGTGTGTTATGTAGCTATTTGTGCATGTATAAGATCTGCAGAGTTACAAAGCTCAAAGTCTCCCACAAAAGGAGAAGGCTGATCCAGACTGGGCTAAAACGGCTCGTTCAAACACGCCCCCACATGTCTACGTCACTATGTGGAAATATTAGCATAATGCCGCCCAAATGTGCACGCAAAGAAAGAAGGCGTGGTTTCAGGAACAGCAGTAGTGTTGATGCAGCCATGTCAGGGAGACGCTGTGTGTTTCAGTGCGAAGGCAAAAGCACTTTATTTGGCCTTCCGGAAGTAGATGCAATGAGGAATCATTGGTTAAGATTTATTTACAACAGAACAGCACAACCCAGATGTTCGAATTTGTGCAACGCATTTCATGGACGACAGTTTTGCGAACCGGAGAGTTAGCCTACAAGGCTGGCTGTGCAAAGGCTAAAAGTGGGTCAATTCCGACTTTGCTATGACAATCTGGCGCTTATTCTGAATCAGCTACTGTAAGTATGTTTTCTTAAAGGGGTCATATGATGCTATTTTAAGGATCATTATTTTGTGTATTTGGTGTAACCGAACATGTTGACATGCTTTAATGTTAAAAAAAAAACACATTATTTTTCAAATACTGTACATTAGTGTAGGTCCTCCTTAAACTAGTAACAAAACATACTTACAGTCGCAGATTCTGAAGTGCCCGATTGTCGTAGTAAAGTCGGAATTTACCTTTTTTTTTTTTGAAATGGCCTTTGTGCACAGCCAGCCTTGTACTCTTCTAGGTTAAAAAAACTGTCGTCCATAAAATGCGTGCTAATATTTCCACATAGTGAGGTAGATATGTGGGGGCGTGTTAGAACAAGTCGTTTTAGGGGGGCGTGGCAGAGTCTTAACTTTGATAAAGAATATCTCTTTGGTTTTGAGACTTTAGTCTTTGCAACTTTACAGATCTTCTTTATGCACCAAGAGCTTGTAACACTCCAAAGAGAAAGGAAAACTTGAAATCGCATCATATGACCTCTTTAATAGTTTAAGTATTTGCTATTGACTGTTCAAATGCGGAGTTTTGCGCCGTGACTATCGCGTCTTGTGTGTGTGTGCATGAGAGAGAGACAGGGTCACATCATCAACAGTGGAGTCAGCTTTCTTAATCGCGCGGCTTGTGTACTGCAAATACATACGAGCATCATCACTGTGTCTGTCACGTGACTCTGTTCCCCTTTCGGGCTTGAACTGATGGTAAAACTAAGGACATTATGTACTGTCTTTACATTTATGTTGAAAGCTGAAGCTCGCGATTATGGTAAGGGGCGTTACATATCCGACGCGTGCTTGTGGTGTTCGGCCAATCACAATGCACTGGGTCAGCTGGCCAATCAGAGCAGACTGTGCTTGTCGTAAGGAGGGGCTTTGTAGAAAACGACGCGTTTGAGAGAGGCGGGGCATAGAGGACCTACAATAATGTACAGTATTTGAAAAATAATGTGTTTTTTGAACATTAAAGCATGTCAACAAATTCTGTTACACCAAATACACAAAATAATGATCTTTAAAATAGCATCATATGACCCCTTTACGGCTAAATGCAAGCCACTTATACAAAATGCATATGACTATCAGTTGTCACTCTATTTCTCCCAATAATATGTCTTGGTAAGAAGAAATGCTTCGTTTTATGATCAAAGGTTTGTAGTTTCAAAACATATAATGCGACGCAATACATCGCTGATTGAGAGGTGTACAAAAATATGTTCCTCAAAAGCCTGATGGATCGTATTTGATACTCCCATTTCTTCTAAAATATTCTAAAAAAATTATGTATGGATAAGTAAGTACACTTACTAAAATTATGTATGGATAATCAAGTAAATATACAAAACCCTGCTGAAAATCAAATCATGCATGGATAATTAAGTAAACATAAGTTGTTCAAGTTCAGTAAGTGTTCATTTTGAAATATTACTAACAATATTAAATTTATTCTCATGTTTGCTTTATAAAGACCAGTAAAGATTTCACAGCAAAAAGACACTTGTACCACAAACCATAGGTGATACTAAAAGGCCTTTTACTTGCTAAAGACGTATAAACTGGCAATAAGATGACAGAAGGGCTGTAGTAGATTGTGTACAAGAAGGTTTTCAGCAAGATTTCATCATGTTGATAATTTAGGGGCCTTAGAAATTTGTGTAATATGATGCAGTAGGCTTTATAGGGTTAATAAATGGCAGCAAAATTAAAAGTCTGCTACGTTCAATATAATTGATTCATTCATGTACTTCTATTAAAGGTGTTGTAAGCAATTTCAGCTTTCACCTTTACTAACTTACGCAAGACTGGCCACTCTCCAAAGCCATATCAGCAAACCACAAAATGTAGATTTTGGTTTGGCTTAAAAAGTGTGGGATGCTCCCTTGACATGTTTTTGCTGTTTACATTACTTTCTTAATGGCAGTTTCTTAGCTGGTGCATATATGTGGTTATTCCTAATAATAACACCCAGCACTTGTACCTTAGATCTGGTTTGTTCCTTGTTATAGATGTTTAAACTCTCAAATCCTGGCAGCTCTGTAATGTATCTGTTGGTCTGAGTTATAGGTGTACTTTTGTCTTGTACCACTAGGTGGCAGGACAAAACAAGGCTTATAGATGAGATCTCTGCTTGCTTGAGGAATGATAGCTGTTTGAGTTTTGCCATATTTTGAGTAACTCAGTGATTGATTTTGCTAATGTGTTTACTTTATGGACTATAAATGTGTTCTTTTCATCATTTTAAGGCACTATCCCATTGGCGTGTTGTTTGATCTTCATGCTTCAAACACAGCTCTGCCCTGGAATATCACAGTGCACTTTAAGGTGTGTAGACTGATTCATTCATTTTTTTCATGATGTTATTGATATGCCACAGTTGTAATTTCCTTTATTTTGTAGAACTTCCCAGAACGCGACTTGCTTCACTGCCCATCGAACTCTGTGATAGAAGCGCATTTCATGTCATGCATTAAAGAGGCAGATGCACTCAAACACAAAAGCCAAGTTATCAACGACATGCAGAAAAAAGACCATAAACAACTGTGGATGGGTCTGCAGAACGGTAAGAACTGCTGACCGGAGCTACGTTTTGCTTGCTCTCCTCATGTGCATAGTCTGTGTTAAGTGGAAAGGGTGATTATTTTAACTAAAATATATACCATACTTTCCCCAGTTGGTTAATCATTGTAGATTAAAACAATTATTTTTATTAGAAGTTTTCTGAAATGTTAAAAATACAAAAATTAGACATTGTTTAATTAAATATGCACTAATTTGCATAGATATCCAGAAGAGAAATCTGAACATTGGATAAAGCCAGGTTCAGAATTCAACTTGTTTAATTTTGTTTGCATATTATAGTTGTTATAAGTTGTTGTTGTTGTTTTTTTTTATGGGTGTATCTTGGATTTTGGATTTGTCTTTTTATCGTTCCATGAATCAGAAAATACTGTCAACAGCTAGAAAAAAACAATAAATTTTTACCTTAACCTCGTTAAAAAATGAAATCTGTAGAAACCTTCATAATATATATAACTGTAAAGCTTGGTGTATATTATGGAAATTGAGATTTCTGGCTTAGTGCAGGAGAAAATACTCATTTTGAGAAAACTTCCTTTAAAAATATGTATTGTAATAGAAATCTACAGATCCAAATAGATAGTGTAATAAAAGAAACACTGAAATGTGCAATGTGGATGTTTTCTTTCCACTAGGCATAAAGAAGAAAAGATATGGAAGCAAAATAGCCCAAAATCTTAAAATTGCCCTGTGTCCGAAAAAAAAAAAAAAAAGGTTTTTACTTGTAGTGTCTTGCCTTAAAGGGATAGGTTACCCAAAAATTAAAATTATGTCATCATTTACTCACCCTCAACTTGTTCCAAACCTGTATGAGTTTATTTCTTCTGTTGAACACAAAAGATATTTTGAAGAACGTGGGTAACAAAACATTTTCTGGTCCCCATATTTCTTCTTCCATACTATGGAAGTCATTGAGGACCAGCAACTGTTTGGTAACCCACATTCTTCAAAATAACTTCTTGTATGTTCAACAGAAGAAAGAAACTTTTACAGGTTTGGGGCAAAATGATGACAGAATTGTAATTTTTGGGTGAACTATCCCTTTAAGGCTAGTGTACACTACTCAAAAAAGTTCCCAAAAGTTATAGCCAGTTTGTAGATTTTTAGCTTTCGTAGTGTCGTAAATTTGATATTTCGAGCTGATTTTAGAACAAATATTGTTTTCATTTTTCATGTATCTCCTGAGGCGCATGCTTCTGCGTGAGTTTGTTGTGTTTGGAATGACTGGTAATGTGTGATCCTTAGTTGTATAGTGTATGAGATCAAGTTTTTTCCTCTGTAACCATTTACAAAGTTGTAACATGTATGAATAATTTGAAAATCTGTTCAGATTTTAAAGGAATAGTTTACCCAAAGATGGAATACATCACACAACTTTTAAAGAAATAGTTCACACAAAAATGAAAAATTGCTGAAAATGTACTCACCCGAAGGCCATCCAAGATGTAGATGAGTTTGTTTCTTCATGGGAACAGATTTGGAGAAATTTAGTATTACATCAATTGCTCACCCGTGGATCCTCTGAAGTGAGCAAATGATGTAATGCAAATTTTCTCCAAATGAAGAAACAAATTCATATATATCGTGAGGGTTACATTTTTAGCAAATGTTAATTTTTTGGTGAACTATTTTTTTTAAAAGTTGTGTGGTGTATTCCAGCCTTAAGCTTTAAACATAATGCCATCAGTAACTTCAAACCCACACTTTCATCTGAGAATTAGTGTATGCGATGCAGGCAGTGCTTAGGCAGTGGTTTCAGTAGTTAATTTAAAGGTGAAAATGTGAAGCCCTGCAGATAAACTGAGAGGTGTAAGTTTCAGAAGCATAGATGTTTTGATAACACACTGTCACAGCTGTCCTCTCTGATGAGTGTGTGAGCAGAGAAAGTAACAATTTCTAAGCGGATGTTGATTTTTCACCTGCACATGTGAGAACGCAGCCAGCGTGACAGAACACACACGACTTTGCTGAGAAATCTCATGCCTGTTTATTCTAAAGTTACAAGCTATAAATATACAATTTTAATAATCATTACAATTCTGTTAGAATAGGGAAATCCACATCACAGCTATAATGATAATCACACAGAGGAATGATATTGTTGGAATCACTTTCATAATGTTGTTTTCCAGCTGAATGACAGTAAATACATTGGCTGTATAAATGACAGCCAGTCAGAATCTGCCCGACTTTAAAGTGCTCAAGCATCGGCAAAACTACATCATGCGCTTATATTAAACAGAATGTTATTGTCCGTTGTTGTGGATGCTAATATAGTTGAAGTTATTTTGTATTTATTGTTGTCATCTTGGTGTGAATGGGCCTTGACTTGGACTCATTTTGTTCCAAATATAAATGGTTTTCTTTCTTCTGTGGAGCACAAAAAGAGATGCTAAGCAGATGTTAGGGACTGACTGCCTTAGTCACCATTCACTTTCATTGCATCTTCGTTCCATACATTGAAAGTAAATGGTGACTAAGGCTGTCCTACGGAAGAAAGAATTTTACAGGGGTTTGTACTAGGGCTGCACGATAAATCGAAATGGAATCGAGGTCGCGATTCGATAGAAGCTGCGATTGTCATGCGTATCTTTCAGTGAAGCACGGTTCTGTGATTAGCAGTAAATCTCCATCCAAAGGCCAGAGGGCGCTCTCGCGCTGAAACTCCAAATACGCCTCGCAGAAGAAACCCAGAAAATGCCTATCGCTGCAGCTGAATAAACAGAAGATTCAACTGCTTTCATTGATTCAACATGACTATGACTTTATAAGATAATTTATGACAGATTTTTTTATTTTTTGAACATTAGTGAAAAACATTCAAAAACGTTTGGGAGAGTGCTATAATTTTTAGCTTTGTTTATTATTTATAAATTACAATTATGTTTAGGTTCTGAAAAGTTTTATTTTTATTTTATTTTTTAATGATCTGAATCTTGGCTGCAACAAATCGGGACACATGGTATTAATAGTTATTAATATTTCTAAATATTTACAATGAGCTCCCTAATAAACAGCAGTATGTGGATAAGAGACAAGGACCTCATTATGTAAAAGAATAGCTTTTTTTATGTTTGAAAGAACTGCTTCTTGGAAATAAGTCAAACTTTCTTTCACTATTATGTTGTGTTGCAGTCTGTTTCCACCAGCATGCTGAGATCATTTTCTAAAAGCTTGAGTGTCACATGGACATCTGACATTACATTCTATAAATTCAGCTTTTTTGGATTTTTGGATAAGTTGATTGTAAAGGTGTAATGGTCTACTGGACATAAACTAGTTAGAATTTTGGCACGCACTAGAACATTCCTAATGTAAACCATTAAAAAAAACATGATTCTATAATGCATCAACAAATTTGCTGATTAAAAAGTCTTCATAACACTTTGGGCTGTTGAAATGAAACTATTTGTGACTATTCCTTCAGGTTAACTGAGCAGATCACTGGTAAATCATCACATACTGTTCAAGAAATATGGCAAATAGCTTAAAACGTCGGAATAGTTTGGCCTAAAATCATGATATTGAAACTTATGTGTCATCATGCTTTGAAAGTACCTGGAAAATTTGGGGCAACACCACCTAATGATCAAAATGTTTTCAAATGCTTTTGATTACTTTGGCCGAGGGCCGGAGTGGGAGTCATTTTCAGCCCTGGAGTTTCATGCCTTAGAGCGGCCCACTTTAGCTCACGACTGACTATAGCAATTTCAATAATGTAATTAAAACTTCAGTATATAAGTCTGCAATAGCGCACTGTTCTCTACAGACTTGTAATTCATTATATTTTTCTACAGCTTTGCTTTTTTATTATTATTATTTTACTGGCCTTTTCAGCGCCGCCTTTGCACTTTCTATTATACATTTTTTAATCTATTATTTTGCTCGCATATCTACAACTAAATATGTGTAGGCATACTGTACCATAATGTCTGCCTGCAGTTAAAAAGTTCTCAGAAATAATCACATTTGTTTTGCTTAACCTATATTCTAAAAATAATTTTAATGTCATAAAAAAAAAAAGTAATTGGCCTGAGTAAATTGTACCATTATAAAATCGTGACTGCACAAGTAGTGTAGTAATTTAGGAGGTGAAAATACTGTGAAATTACATACATACAAATGGCAAGAAATTTGAAAGCATAACAACTGAACGTCTATGGAACGTCTATGCACTTAAATTTTTTAAACTAAAATGGCTGTTATTGCAACCATATAGCCTATGAATGAATGAAAATGCATATTTTTCAATTAAAGAAAACTTGTGGGCTGAGTGTGGGCTGCTTCTGGCGCTTGGATTTCTACTTCAATAAAATGAGGTCCAAGTTTAAGAATGCGCTAGAAGTTAATTTTATTTTTTATTTTTTTAAGCACAAGTCCTGCTCCCTGTGAAACAGGAGCAGCCGGCAGAGGATTCCGCTTGGTCTTAAAGCCTTCATCAATCGGCTACGTTCACAAATAAAACAATATTTTGCGCAAAATTAATTATTAATTATCAATTGAGAATTTGTTATTCATATGGTCTGGTGGTCATATGGCGTATGCCTGCGAATACGGGACAAACTGTGTTATAACTTTCATTCGGGACGCTTCTTTGATGCCTTAAATACGGGCATCCATATTTCAACCCTTATAGCAGTGGTGTGTTGACAGTACCGGCCCTCGCGGCCAAAAAACAGACCGGCCCACCGGGAATTTTCCGGGTGCTCCCGATTAGCCAATCCGGGCCTGCTTTGGCCTATAGACCCTTTTTACATGGCCAGATTTGGATCAGGGGAGTAAACTATAGCAGGGTGAATTTCTATAGGAGAACGTGGGAGACCATAGCAAATATAAATCTATAAATATAAAAATATAATAAAAAAAATTAATTTAGCAAAGATATATTTATATTTATACCCTGTAGCCCAAGACTGGTTGCCCACTGAAGCTAAGCAGGGTTGAGCCTGGTCAGTACCTGGAAGGGAGACCTCCTGGGAAAAA